TTTTTGCACGTCATTACATATAAGTTAGTTTTCATTTAAATAAGTGAAAATCCTAAAAAATATTGAGTGAACTACTTGTTAATTAGAAATCATATTAGGATTGTCTGTGTGATTTTCTACTAACAATGCAGATGCTTGCGTGGCTTTAAGGTATGTTATCCTGCTATTTATTTACTGCTTTCTTGGGTGTTAAATTGGTGGTTTGCGCACTCGCATGAACATCTCACATGTTAGAGATTAGGTAATAAAATGGATCCAGACTGTCTGCATAAATATTTTTGAAAAGAAAAGGTACCGAAAGGGCGTTAGACTAGATCTAGCGTAATCAAGTCCCCGAGCTTAGAATCTCTGGTTCGTAGGAATAAAACATATCTCCCTATGTTTTATTTAGGTTTCTAATCGACCTACCATAAATAGATTAGTGGCGACTCCAAGCATGAAAACTTTTGCATGTTAAAAACTTAAACCCTAAGTTGCGAATTGGTAGGGCTTGGGAGGGCCCGAGTTAGGTTTACTCCTAATAATCCATTAGCCTGAGAAATTTTAGGTCACGACAGCTTGGCGACTCCACTGGGGATCGAACCCAGAATCTCTGGGCTGTCGCGACCTAAAATTTCTCAGGCTAATGGATTATTAGGAGTAAACCTAACTCGGGCCCTCCCAAGCCCTACCAATTCGCAACTTAGGGTTTAAGTTTTTAACATGCAAAAGTTTTCATGCTTGGAGTCACCACTAATCTATTTATGGTAGGTCGATTAGAAACCTAAATAAAACATAGGGAGATATGTTTTATTCCTACGAACCAGAGATTCTAAGCTCGGGGACTTGATTACGCTAGATCTAGTCTAACGCCCTTTCGGTACCTTTTCTTTTCAAAAATATTTATGCAGACAGTTTGGATCCATTTTATTACCTAATCTCTAACATGTGAGATGTTCATGCGAGTGCGCAAATCACCAATTTAACACCCAAGAAAGCAGTAAATAAATAGCAGGATAACATACCTTAAAGCCACGCAAGCATCTGCATTGTTAGTAGAAAATCACACAGACAATCCTAATATGATTTCTAATTAACAAAGCAAGGCACTCAAGATGTTCATTAGGGTTTGTGCTTTATTAAAATGCAAACTAACCTATATGCAATGACGTGCAAAAAATGACATGCGATTAATGCAACTAGCATGCGAACTATATGTCATGCGACGACATGACTTAATTCTAATGACGGACGAATGATTTATTTTTGGTATTTTTCCAATGAAATTCGGAATTAAAAAATGCCTAAATTAACATGCAATCTATTCTAAAAATAATAATAATTTAATCCATCCTAAAGTGACTTCTTTTTGGTATTTTTATAAAAATTCGAAATCAAGAATTACCCTAGAATGAACCATCGAGATCAGGATAATATCTAAATTAAACTAGGAAATAAATTACTCTAATTCCTAATTTAAATTAAAAAGTTATCCTATCGACTTATTCAAAGAAAGTTATCCTAAACCTATCCTAAACATGCATCATTCTTTTTGGGATTTTCGAATCAAATCAAAACAAAGATTCAAACCAAAGCCAAAGATAGCGTCCAATCACCCAAGATATCATCCATATCCATTCAAATTTGGAAAATAAATTGACAAATCACATCTCGGGCATGAGGATCGGATTGGCCAATTTTCAATGCAATCACGAATCGTATCTCGGGTGGGAGATCGGATTGACGATTTTCCGTGCAATCGCGAATCGTATCTCGGGCAGGAGATCGGATTGACGACCATAGCACGTTATGAAATTAGGAAATAATTCCTAATTTAAATCTGCTTGAGGATTTCATTGATATGAATAATATTTGAAGATTCAAACAATAATGCAATTTCACAAATTAGGCAACAAAATATACAAAAATCGAATTAATGAAGATTCTTACCTAATTCGCAATGTTTGCTTTCCAAGTTTGGACCGGCGGACGGTGGCTCGCGGTGCTAGACGATGGATCACGAGTGGCTCGTCTCGATGGTGGTTCACAGCCAAAAATGGCCTGCAATGTGGACGCTCACGGTGAAGGATGCTCACGGAGACCTCGGCGGAGTTAAGCGCGGAGCTGCTACTTCATGGCTTCGTCATCAAAGGGAATCACAATAACCGACAAGGAAATTTATCGGACTTCCCGGCAAGACCAAAGAAACCTGCAGATAACTCAAATTGGATCCAACGAATTCTGTTGACTTCGTTGGACCCACTAAGCAAGGAAGCAAGACCAAGTGGACGACACAGAGGCATGATGGTGGCAGCAAAGATTCACTAGACCCGATACTAAATTGGCGAGCGCACTGGAAATTCAACGGCAGGGAATCTACTGGACTTGACTGGGACTCGGGTGCTGGAACTGGCTGGAGCGTGCTGTGACCAGCGCAAGTCAAGGCCGAGAAACTTTGACGTTCGTAGGATTCAGCGAACGTCCTGGATGAGCAGCTCTCGGTGGCAGGTGCAGCGTTGGTTCAGGTTGGCGATGAGCACTAGTTCTGCTGGGCTGCTGTGCTGAACGTCGGAGAGGATGGGCTCGCCGAGAATCTGCAGAAAATTGTTTGGAGTTACTGGAAACCGCTCGCGCTTACTGGCTGGTATCTCTGGGCGTTCGCTGACTGTTGGAGCAGCGTCTGAGGCGTGAAGGGCTGAGGCAGGGACAACTTCGGATGTTGGAAGCGTGGTGGTGCAGAGTGGCCAGCAGCAAAGGGGCTCACAGCAACAGTGATGAGCAGTTCGGCAAGGGTATCACTGAGTTGGACTTCACTTGGACGTAGTATATTGACTCCGTCAACAAAAGCCAACTTGGCTGAACCTGCAAAATCAGAGAAGATCGAGCCAAACATAGAAGTTCAAATCTCGGTTGGGTTCACGGCAAGGACAGCATCAAGTGAGGGCGAAGCAGCTCGTGGACAGCGGCTCCTCGTCGTTGTCGGAGGTGGGCACAGCAGCAGCAACTTCTTCACGGACTGCTGCCGACTTACTTAAGTGACGCAGCGATGAGCGGAGGAACAGCCACGATGAGGCACGAAAGCAGCAAGAAATAGAGTCTGGTCGTGGAGCTCTCGGTCGTGATCGTGTAGACACACGCCCAAGGAAGACGACGACTCTTCTCTCTCTATGAACTTTCTTGTTTTCTCTCTATGTTTCTTGTGTGTGATCAGAACCCAAAAGAAAGCCTCCCTTTTGTCTGTAGTTGGTCTGCTTTTATAAGCAGGATAGCCGAATCTCTTCGAGGAAAGAACAAAGTTTTCTTTCCTTTGACGGGCATCCAGAATATCTTATATCTTATTCCTGTCCTTTATTGACTGATTCCTGCTCTGTCAACTTTCCTTTTGAAGCTTTGATTTTTTTCGGGTGAGATTTCCCAGATTCCAAATCTTGCAAAGATGCTAGCCATCTGGCCATGAACGTGCAATATCTCCTTTGAACGCTTGCCTTCACCGAAAATATTTGGATATTCTTTCTCGTCCTTGCTTAGCCGAATATTGCCCATACCCACTAAAATTGATCTTGTCATCTTCTTCATATTTACTTCTTCAAATAGTTACGTACTTATAGGCCTTAAGATTATCGCCTATTATCCTTCATGTGACCAAATCTTGGTAATATAACACCAATAGGCTGGGCCAGATTTTCAATCCACGCAGGCTTAGTCCAATTTCAATAAGTCCGGAGCCGTTCATTTAAATCCATCCAACACCGGTCCAATTAATATGCAAAATGTAATTAAGCTATATGATAAATGCTCCTAAAAACTATATGCTATGCCATCTAATTATATTTTTTTTGTTTAGGGATTAAAAAATTAATCTCTAATTTTCTATGCAATTGTTCTTAAATGACTAGTTAAAATTTAGGTGTCAATACATATGTTAAAGGTTAAAGAAAGAATACAAGAGCTGTCATTATTTGCCTAGCAGAATGCAGGGAAAAAAAACATCCGGAACACGTTATGAACCCTAGTTAATATCACCATCTTTTCTTTTATGTCAATAGAATGTCTCGGCTTTTGAGCGACCCGCGAATAAAAATTTCGCCATCAAGTCAATGGTATTTGTCCTGTGTCCGACGCGGTATCAGCAAGCGTTCATATCAGTCAAAACATATATATTCATGACATGGCAAATGGGAAAAAGAACAAATACATAAATAGGTGGTCTTGTTGTAATGTACGTCCTTATGCAGCACCGCGAGAGTACTTAAATCTTAAAAGAAGGTACCGACAATTTCGCATTGCTTCCATAAATTGTTATTAGTTAATACCGTTGCCATCGAACGGATTGTGAAGGCAATCATCATGATGCTGTTGTTTTTTTTATGAATGATAGGATTGGGATAGCGTTGGCGAAGATCGAAAGAGACAAACATTAAACTGCAAAAAAGTTTTACTCGTTAATCGTTTTCAGCTAACCGTGTGAGACCCATGTGTGAAAGACACACCATATCATATGCACACGCGCAATTTCTGAAACAACTACAAACTGGATGTTCTATAAAAAGCATATCAGGTCAGTAAAAACATATATATTCATGACATGGCAAATGGGAAAAAGAACAAGTACATAAATAGGTGGTCTTGTTGTAATGTCCTTATGCAGCACCGCGAGAGTACTTAAATCTTAAAAGAAGGTACCTACAATTTCGCATTGCTTCCATAAATTGTTATTAGTTAATACCGTTGCCATCGAACTGATTGCGAAGGCAATCATCACGATGCTATTGTTTTTTTGTGAATGATAGGATTGGGATAGTGTTGGCGAAGATCGAAAGAGACAAACATTAAACAGCAAAAGATTTTTACTCGTTAGTCGTTTTCAGCTAAGCGTGTGAGACCCATGTGTGAAAGGCACACCATATCATATGCACACGCGCAATTTCTGAAACAACTACAAACTGGATGTTCTATAAAAAGCACATCAGGTCAAAACGGTATTAAGATCTATCTTCCACTGATTAAGAAGACAACACAAGATGTCAGTGGGTACGCGTATGTTGGTGTTTCTGCTTCTTTTTGTTGCCAAAGCTCAATCTCAAGGTAATCACGTCACTAATACAAAGTCGAAAAATGCTTTCTAGTCCTTGTCTAATTAGTTGACAAGTTCATCTATATTTTCTTCGCTTTTCCATTGCAGGTAAAACTACCCTATTGAGAATCGATTGCGGAACAGATTCGAGCTACAGAGACAGTACTGATGGAAGCTATTGGCAATCTGATGAGAATTACATCAAAACGGGCACTAACAGAAAGGTCTCAACCAGCAGAATAGAACAATTCAACAGTCTCCGCGCCTTTACACAACAAAACAAGAACTGTTACACATTACCGACCCCAACTCAAGCGAAGTACTTCATCAGAGGCTCTTTCTACTACGGCAACTACGATGGCCAGTCGAAGCCGCCAACCTTCGACCTGGAGTTCGATGGAAACAAATGGGCTAGTGTCGTTACTTCGGCCACACGGCTCCAATTTCACGAGCTGATCTACATGCCCAAAGGAGAAAACATCAGCGTGTGTTTAGCTAGAACGCAGGACAAGCAATTTCCTTTCATTTCGATATTGGAGATCTGGCCTTTGGACGACAATATGTACGAGGGTATGAGCGGGGACGTTGCGTGGCTCAGAAGCTACGGCTATAACTATGGCGGCGGTTCAAATGATTTGGAAAATTGGATCCTTGGGTATAAAATTCGAACTCCATTGCAATAAATAAAGAAAAGTTTGGTTTAGTTCTGATGGCTAATCCCATGTTCTTATGTTGATGTAAGGTTTCCAATGGATGACTACAACAGAGTATGGCAACCATATGATCCCCCAGGCATAAATGTAGTCACAGCCCTCTCAATAAGCCAAAACAACGTCAATGATCCACCTGAAGAAGCAATCATCACAGCAATTGAAGCAGCAGATCCAGCAGACGTGATCAACTTACCATTCACGCTCGCCACAACCACTAACCTCAACTACATAGCGGCTTACTTCACCGAGCCACATGAATTTTTGGATAACGACACAAGATTGATCGATATCTATGTGGAAGATGATTTCATGCTCACAGTCGAGCCTGAGATTGGGATCTGTACTTGCGCATTGATCAGGATTCAGTCAGATGGTACGCTAAATGTTCAACTGCGCCAAAATGGTAGTTCTACATTACCTCCCGTGATCAGCGCAATTGAAGTGTACACAGCTGGCAACCCGCTTGTCCCCGGCACAACTTCGAAAGATGATTGTAAGTTCAGCTCTAGCAGTTCATATGCTTGAGCACATATCGCCGGTGCTCTTATACGTGACGCAGTTCTAATTTACCTTTTTGGAGCAGTGGATGGACTTCAGGTCTTCATCAACGCCTTTGAGCAGCTAAGCGGTTGGAGCGGAGATCCCTGTCTTCCAAACAACACCGTATGGCAATGGTTGGGTTGCAATGGTAATGACCCGCCAAGAGTAAGCAAAATGTAAGTTCCTCAAGATTCGATGAAAATGGTGAAAGTAGAAGCAAAAAATTTATTCTCAATACTGACAAGTCTGGCAATGTTGCAGAGATCTCTCAGGATACGGTCTAAATGGTCCTCTGCCAGAATTCAGCCAAATGCAAGCTCTCGAGACCATGTAAATCAGCCTTGGCTTCATTTAGCCCTGAAGAATTCTTCTCTTTGCTTTCTTGTTACTAATTTCCATGTGCTCGCTTCTTCAGAAATCTCGGAAACAACAGCCTCAACGGACAAATCCCAAGTTTCCTCGGGTCACTTCCCAATTTAAAGCAACTGTAAGTCACAGTCAGCATAAATTGCAGACCCATGTCTTATCTCGTTTGCTTTTCCTTACATCGCTTCTGTACAGTGATCTCCAAAACAATAACTTCTCTGGAAAAATCCCAAAGACCATAACTCAGAACAAAAAGATCACCTACAAGTAAGGAGCAAATTTTGTGACTTCATAGTCTCTGAATCATTTTCTAGTAATATTGATGTTATGGCATAGTTCACTTCTTCATACAACTGCTTGTGCAGTGTTAAAGGGAACCCCCATGTGCACTGTCCAAAGAAGAAAAACCTGGCTCTGATCATTGGTCTCTGTGTGAGCTTACCTGTCGGCCTAATCTTAGTGATTACCCTAGTTTTTTTCGTGACACGAAGACATCCGCCACCACCCACCCAAGGACAACTCACACTGGCTGAGTTGAGTAGGGTCCAGAAAATGAATATTCAGGGGAATCATCCAGGACAAAGCGCTTCTTTAAGTACACAAACACCTACCACACCATCTCAGAACAATCAGCACATTGAGCCAATTTCGAACCTAGGAAATGTTGCTTCACCTCCATTCTCCTCAAGCATGAGTCAAGCAAACCAAGGAAATGGTCATTTGACGCCACTGTCGACCAATACCGTAGGAAATAGCGATCAGTTTCAGGGATTTGACAGGGATGAGCTTGATGAACTACTTGATCTTCATATTAGAACAAGATAATGATGACTTTGCTGAAGCTTTTGTAACCATCAGAATTATCTGCTGTCTCAGAGCTCAGGAGTTGGACATCTCCCGGATCTTCCCACTCCAAATAATGTCATGCATACTTTATGGTTAATGCTTTTCTATAGTATGGATGTATTCAATTGAAGGTATTTGGAAACAACGGATATTGTACCGTGCTGTAAAAGTAATAAAAGTTATAACGGGCAACCTGAATGCCAATAAGGGAGATAATAATCTCGACGAGAAGCTCTCCAGAATTTAGATTCATATATCCAAGGTGAGGCCATTTCTACAAATTTAGGTTACTGTCCACAAGAGTAAGGATCGATTATTGCTCTCATAGTGCACATATCAACCGGCAATGATAAATTTCAAATGCAGGAAAACTGAGGAATGCCGATGCATCTCCAGCTGCAATAGCACCTAATTATTTATAAGTACTTATCGGAAGAAATAGCAAGTACAAAAAAAAAAAACAGAGAAGAAGACCTCCTGGCATACAGCTTTGCTATTTGCTCAACAGAGATTAACATAACTATAAACTTAAATACATTCTTTGGTTGGAACAATGACAAAAAATGGAACAAGTACTATAACTGAAACTGGTAAAGAAAAGTGGATTTAAATTCAGTCGCTTCAGACGCCACGGTTGTCATCGTCTTGAACTTGTTCATTGATCAACTCGCTGATTTCGTTGCTCATTTGTTGCTCCATGTTGACTCTGAACTCATTCATTGCTACTTGCCCTAATTTCCCTCCCATCTGGCTATTGTTTGCCATTCCCTGCGGTCCACCATTACCCATGTTCGCTCCTCCTGTTTGCCCTAAGTTGGGACAAGAGAGACCAACATGGGCTGATGATGATCACTATGCACTAATAAAAAGGTTCTATTTACATATGTAAAATGTGCTAATTATCACCATCATGCGCAAACTGTGAATTATTCGATATATAGTGTCCTTAAAAATAAAGGTTTATAGGTTTTGATTCTTTAAGTGCCATGTACTTGAAGGATAGTGAGAATATTAATTGGCAGTGTACAGTACGTACTAATTAGACATGTGACTCAACTATTGAGAACCCATTAAAGGTTCAAGCATAATGAATGAGTGTCAATAAAATTAATGTGTCTGGTTTTAATTATAGAGTTTCAACTTGTGATTATACCTGCAGTCATTGCAGTGTTGGCTGCTCTTTTGCGATTCTGGTGCAGGACAATCGCAACCCCAACAATAATCCAGAAGACGAAGAAAGCAGGAATAGTGCCACCAAGAATCGCAGGGAGCTTGCTACTCTTCTTGCCCAAGGATGTCGATTGCGTGTCCAACGATCCACCGCCAGTACTTGTCGTATCCGTTTTGCAAGATTTGCCCGAGATGCACAGCTCCGGATTACCCGATACACTAATAATTAAGTTAGTAACAGAATCAGTGATCGGTTTTTAATCTAACAAAAACTCAGAAGTTTCCACCAAAAACGTTCATGATTGCTTGCTCTGATGTAGCAATTACCTGATAAAAATGACAAACATATAGATGGAACACATAGAGTTGACTTACGTTAATTTAATTTTGTTGTTTTTGGACAGCGAGGAAGGGATCTGTCCAGTCAACTTATTATCGGCCAAGTTCCTAGAAAGAAATGCATTAATCTTCAGTTACTATTATCTCAAACAAATCGAATAAGCTATGTGAAAAATTGCATAGTTTTTATTGAGTCTCACAATTCTTTGAGATTCGGTAATGTGCTGAAAAAATCTGGAATGGATCCACTCAAGCTATTATTGTGCACATCTCTGGAAAAACCATCACCAAAATAGCACAGGCTGTTAGTAATATTATATGGAAACGGATAACGACAACATGTTATATTAGTACTCTCTGCTCGACTCACATCATCACGAGTGCGTCCATGGAACTGAAATCTGGAAGCTGTCTCGATAGATCATATCCGCTCAGATACCTGAGAATCCAGGAATGTTTACTGAATTATTGCTCTACCTTGTTTATATATCTTAGAAATCCTTTATAGCACAAAGTTAGGAAAAAAACGCTCCATAAGTAAATACAATTAAAAGAAACTTTAAGAAAAATTACAATGCCGTCACACGAGGTGTGGCATCGCTACTGCAGTTGAGCCAATCCCAGGTGTATGGAGAAGGGAGACAAGGATCACCAGACCAGTCTTGTAAGTTGGTAAATTCAGTTTGAAGAGAGGATAATCCATCCACTGACGAAGCCACGAGAAAAACATGAGATTAGATATTTAAGGCAAAAGGTACAATGTGAACTAACTCATCCTAAGGGCGATTTGGTTATTAGCAACAGCAGCGTTCTAATGCTGAACTAAGGGGTCAAGAGTCTATGTGCATATAGAAAAAGGAAATGAGTTCTTTGTGTTAATGAAATTGATTGTGGCCCAAACTTATGACATTCAATGAACTGAAATTTCTAGAGTATAATAACTCAGAATCCATAATCAGTTGAAGAATACCAACCGTCATTGCTGTTTGTTCCATCAGTGAGAACATCGACGTCGAACACTTCCATGGCGTTTATGAGTGGTGGAAGAGTTGAATCTGAGGTTGCCACCAAGGAAAATGAAGTGTTGGAAGACGCACTGACGTTAGTGAGCCACGTCTCAGTGATGGTTCCATAAGGCGGGACAATAACTTCCGGGTTTGGGAGAGGCTTGTCGTTGGCATAAAGCTCAAATGATCTCTTTTGAGTCGTGTCGAGCTGAGTGACTTCGGAGAAGTACAAGTTCATGTAGATGGGGACTGCTTTCGCCGGAAAATCAATGCTTAATTGAATGGAGTCGGATGCTTTAGAGGTGGTGACTGCATTCTGCATCACTGCTTGCGGAGGATTATCATCAATGCTTGTGTCTATGAACAATGCATCGCTTGTGACCACAGTCAATCCGGTCCCTATGGCCGCGGGTTGCCAGATCCGGTCATAAGCATCAGCTGAGTACCTGCGAGCCCATGGATACATATCATCATTGCCAGTTAGAATGGATAAAAGATATAATTTGCACAAATTGTTCGATGTGATCGCATACATGCAAGAGGGGAAAAGTGCCAAAAAAGTCTTAAACCTTTTGCATTTGTGCCAATTCAGTCATAAATCTTTTTTTGGTGCCAATTCAGTCCTAAACCTTTTGCATTTATGCCAATTCAGTCCTAAACCTTTTTATGGTGCCAATTCAGTCCTAAACTTTTTATATTGGTGCCAATTCAGTCCTAAACCTTTTGTTTTTATGCCAATTCAGTCCTTCCGGCCAATTTTGGCCAGATTTTGCTGACGTGGACACCGGCCAACCAGCGGCCGGTCACCGGCGCTGACGTTGACAACTTTAATAATATTTTAATATTTTTTTGAATTTTAATTAATTTTTTTCTTTTTTTCTTTTTTTTCCCCCTCTCCTCCCTCCTTCCTCCAGCCAATCGCCGGACCGGCGACCGGCCAGAGGCCAAAGGCCAGCATCGGTGAGGCTCGCCTTCGTCGGCCACTGGCAAGGTCGACCTCGCCATGGCTAGGCGAGGCCTGACCTCGCCGGATCTGGCGAGGTCGTGCCTCACCTAGCTGCTGACGAGGCTCGACCTCGCCAGATCCGGCGAGGTCGGGCCTCGCCCAGCATGAGGCTGCCCTCGCCAGTGGCCTCGCCCTGTGCGAGGTCGCCCTCGCCAGTGGCCGGCAAGGGTGAGCCTCACCGGTACTGGCCTCTGGCCGGTCGCCAGTTCGGCAACCGACTGGAGAAAGGAGGGAGGGGAGGGGGAAAAAAAAATAAAAGAAAAAAATTAATTAAAATTTAAAAAAATATTAAAATATTATTAAAGTTGTCCACGTCAGCGCCGGTGACCGGCCACCGGCCGGCCGGCGTCCACGTTAGCAAAATCCTACCAAAATTGGCCGGGAGGACTGAATTGGCACAAAAACAAAAGGCTTAAGACTGAATTGGCACCAATGCAAAAAGTTTAAGACTGAATTGGCACTATAAAAAGGTTTAGGACCGAATTGGTACAAATGCAAAAGGTTTAGGACTGAATTGGCACCAAAAAAAGGTTTAGGACTTTTTTTAGAACTTTTCCCCATGCAAGAGATTGCATGAAATGCAATAACGAAAATCAGTTCGTCATACTAATGGTCATAACCCTCCCTGAAACGAGATCGAGTCAAAAGTGATGTATGACCAAGGGAGCTGCAAAATTTTCCTACTCGATTCATTTGTACATGATGGAAAAATCGATCATCAACGACATAAACGAATTTGAGAAGAATTTGAATATTTAACATGCAATCCATTTGATCTCGATAGCTATAATTTCTTTTTCGGGTCATATAGAAAATTTGGATGCAAAGCGAAGCGTAGATTATGTACCTAACATCTGCGGTTGTTCCGTAAGCAACCCTAGCTTTTAAGTACAAAGCGTTGTTGGAATCGAAGTGCCTGTACATGTTGGAGCCCAAGCTACGCACTTCGAGAGCCGACATGAAGGGGTACTGGTTAGGCTGCGTTTGTGCAACACAGACGCTCATGTAGTCTCCCTTGACGACGTAGATGGTCTCGTAGTAAACGACTTTGTCTTTCGAAGTCCCGACCGTGGCCCAGTAATTCCCGTCGTAGTGCAAATCGAAGGTCGGGGGAGCTGATTTCCCGTCGTAGTTTCCGTAGTAGAAGCTCGCGCGGGCATATATCTGGCCTCCCTTATCGACCTTGAGAGAGTAGCAATTCTTCTTCCGAGTGGTGAACACTCGCAACGTGCTCATCACATGGTCGACCGAGTTGCTAGATTGGACGACCTCGGATTGCCCGTTTTGTACGAGGTAGTTGTCCCCCATCCAGACGATGAGGTTGCCGTCCGTGTAGGTATCGGACGACCCGCAATCGATGCTCCACAGCACTGCCACAAACAAAGAAAATAAATGGTTACAACAATGGCTCCTATGGGTAGTGAAATGATGAAATCGTTAACAGCGAATTGAAGAGTAGAAAGATCAATTGTAGCTAAGCACAGTGATGGTGATCAAGTGCAAGTTATGGAAAAGAGAGGGAAAGTGCTCAAACCATCAGCAGATGCAGAAATGGCAGAGAGAGCAACTAGAAAGAGAAAGAGATGGCTTGCCATTGCCATGGTGGTGTGGCCTAGCACTAAGGAGATGGAGGACAAAGAGACATGACTTGGGTATCTCATATATAAGGATGAAGTTTGACTTTCTTGTGTGCTTTGTATTTTTAGATTTTCTAGTCATCACCTTCCTTGCCATTTCCAGTGCATGAATTGGTAAGGGGGCACAATCACTTTTTTAATAGTCTGACCAGAAAACTTAAGATCATTATTTGTTTAAATGAAACTCCGAAAACTGCGAATCGGTTTAGTCATTAAGAAATAAACTACATGGGTGGATTTTGCATCATCCGGATCATTATTAGGTCATGTGCTTGAATTTTGGTTCGCATCTTATCCGGTTCATTAAATTTTCACAAACCCCAAACTAATTTTTTAAGGTGGGATTCTTCTGGTCACAAGAAAATAAATAGAACTCAACAAAGTGGTGATTTTATATTCAACTTTCTCTCGATGACTTGCTTAATGTATGAAGTGAGATTGAATCCCGATCCCCTTATTTCCCAAATTGAACTTCACTCTAAACCGACTTCAGTTTTAACTAAACACTAATTTTTCACATTATACACAGACAGATAGATTAAAAAAAACTTGACTTTATCTGCTTCCCTATTGTGAAGATAAAAATGTTGTGTGCAACAATTAAAATCGTATCCATAAAATGGCTTATTCTAAAGTTAAAGTCGAAAAGAAGCAGTTCAACGCTGATTATATATCTAATCGTGCACAATACATCCACTCATTTACATCTTTATATGAGATTATGCTTGTACTTATTGATCGGTTGACCAATTGTTGCAATAGTTCACTTCATCATCACCTCTTTCAAAAATGTATGACTTTTGAATAAGGGTCCGCTTTGGTCTTGCATCACCCACAAGTTATTCACTATTTTTGCCACTAGAGATTAGACAGTTGACTTTGACTTTGGGCCCTCTATCGTCAAGCCCCGATTTTGCGGCTGGGATTAGCAAGTTTACTCAATAGAAAAGCGATTGGAGAGTCAGAATTTGAGGCCAACGACTAATGAGTGTGCGAGAGTTGAGGTTGATCTAGATGAGCACAATTAGTCAGTCAACGACCAATTGAAAACTCGAAATACAGATGAGAATTTTTTGAAGTAGACGGCTTCATATTTAATTTTTTTTTTTTTGTCCCTTTATCAATCGTTAACAAATGCCATTCAGATAGCATTAGTGAAATTTGAACGAGTGACCTCTACTTCTTGAGCTTAAAATCCCCCAACCAACTATACGATCCTGGAGGGTTATTTAACTTGTCTTGGTATCATTGTGGATAATCTACTATTCCCATTAGGATCGGGTCAGTAGAGGAATTGTGATCATTGCATAGTGAAAAACTCGGGAAAATTGTACTAAACTTATTGTACAACCGCCGATTGAGTCTTAAACTTTCAAGTTTAGTCAATACAGTCCTAAACATTTTCATGATTTTCCAATGTAGTATATCCAACCAATTTAGGATAAAAATCACTAACATGGTGGTCCAGTCGACGCCAATCGTCCTATGTGACATGGATGATGATCTGATGTGTTTGACTCCATTCAAAACGACGTTTTGAGAAATTCTCTAAAATTTTTATTTAATTTTTGGCCTTTTCCTCACTTTATATCTTTCACAATGGTTAGTGACCCACGCTAGCCACAAGTGAGTGACAATCCCAGATTAGCCACTGGCAAGCGACGATCCCATGGGCCTCGCCAAAAATCGCTGACGTAGACATCGACCATCATAATTGGCGTGGCCAGCGCTGATGTGGATAATTTTTGCATTTTTAAAATTTTTTTCTTTTTTCCTTTCTTTATTTTTATTTTACTTTCCCTTCGGCCTATGGCCGATACTCAGACATTGCCAACGATCGACAAGGACATCCCGGCCCCCACTGGCCACAGGCAAGGGCTACCCTCACCAGATCTAGTGAGGGCTCGACCCTCGCAAGTTGGGACAACCCTTGCCTGTGGTTGGTCACCGCCGGCCATGGCCGAGTACTGGCCACAGGCCAAAGGGAAAGAAAAGGAAAAAAAAGAAAAATATTTTTTTAAATGCAAAATTTGTCCATGTCAGCACCAGCCACACCGCGTAGGATGGCCGACGATCGAATAGCATCCACGTCAACGATTTCCCGCCAAAATTGGCCAGAATGACTAAATTGACAAGTCGTCAAAATATTTAAGACTAAATTGGCAAATCATAAAAAGTTTAGAACTAAATTTCCATTATTGAAAGGTTTAAAACTGAATTGGCCACTGTACAATAGGTTTATGACTTTTTGGACAACTTTCCCCTGAACGAAGGTCTACAATGTTGCAATTGTAGTTAATGCCAATATGATGAATGGAATGATGAGTTACAGTAATTGCTAGTTTGAGCAATCAAGCTCGGCACTACGTCTCCATTCAAGGAATCATTCTGTTCTTTCGCTTAGTTCCAATTTTTTCTTTAAAGTATCTATGAATTAGATTAATTTATTCCCACCAACAATAGTTAAAGAGTAAGCCGCAAGTCATGTCAATTTGTGCAATATTTGCGCAATTGTGCATGAAATCTGTGCATGGTAGTATAAGTATTGTCGCGATCTAAATTTCTCAGGCTAATGGATTATTAAGACTAAGCCTAACTCAGGTCCTCCCAAGCCCTACCAATTCGCAACTTAGGGTTTAAGTTTTTAACATGCAAAAGTTTTTATGCTTGAAGTCGCCACTAATCTATTTGTGGTAGGTCGATTAGAAACCTAAATAAACTACGAACCAGAGATTCTAAGCTCGGGGTCTTGATTACGTTAAATCTAGTCTAACGCCCTTTCGGTACCTTTTCTTTTCAAAAAATGTTTATGCAGGCAGTCTGGATCCATCTTATTACCTAATCACTAACATGTGAGGTGTTCATGCGGGTGCGCAAACCACCAATTTAACACCCAAGAAAACAGTAAATAGATTGCAAGGTTAGGAGAATGACGTACCTTAAAGCAACGCAAGCATCTGCATTGTTAGTAGAAAAAATCACACGGACAATCCTAATATGATTTCTAATTAATAAAGCAAGGCACTCAAGGTGTTCTTTAGGGTTTGCGCTTTATTAAAATGCAAACTAACATATATGCAATGACGTGCAAAAAATGACATGCGATTAATGCAACCTAGCATGCGAACTATATGTCATGCGACGACGTGACCTAATTCTAATGACGGACAAATGATTTATTTTTGGTATTTTTTCAATGAAATTCGGAATAAAAAATAACCTAAATAATCTATTAGGATTAGAATAATACCTAATTTAAACTAGGAAATAAATTATCTCAAGTCCTAATTTAAATTAAATAATTATCCTATCTTCTAGATACATTTAGGGTTCCCCAAACATGCAAAACTTCTAATTTAAATCCTCACTAACATATTTTTGGATTTTCTTTATTTAAAAAAAAAACAATCAAACAGAGATAACAACCGCATTCAAACAATCCACGCAATCCACAAGATTCTTCTTATCAAATTTGAATTAGGAAAAGAAATCAAATTAACAGTCATATCTATAGGGTTATAGATATCGACGGAAAATTGATTATTCGAATTTGGAAAGCGAATAAAATCTATTATCGTATCCAAGTGATTATGGATAAGATAACGATTTTCTGTATTGTCGCGTATCGTACCTTAAGGATAAGGTCGGATAGTCGTCCAAATACATTGCCAAATTAGGAAAAATTCCTAATTTTGGGTATTTTCGAATATTGCGGATATCGCAAATATTATCCTAAGGTATCTAATCAATCACGCAATATTCACGGAATATTCAAAATATTTAAACTAAGAATTTAAATATTTTGAAAATATACCGGATAGAGATTTTTACCTGATTTGCGGATTACTTTCCAAATTTGAACTCGACTCCGAATCGCGATTGCAGAACGCGTGGTGGCCAACGGTGGTGGACCGGCGAAGGTGTTAGATTCGCGAATCGCGGCGGGACTTGACGAATGGTAGCCTGCGGTGTGACTCGACCAGGGAGGATTCAGACGGTGAGAGGGTTAGGCACCAGGAAAACAGCTTTTCGGTCACGGGAAAACCTGCAAAATCGGACCAAAGTTTGGCCGTGAAAGTTAGCAAATTGTTGTTAATTCGTCGAGCTTGCTGTGTCGTTAGTCGTGGACTCGACGTTGCTGGTCGTCACTGAATGGGGGTTGTTGAGTAGCGGCCGCGTGACTCGAGAGAGTGAGGTGGTGGCGTGACAAGAGAAGGTGTGGAAGTCAGGCGCCAAGAGAGACGATCAGCCACCGCGGAGGGATTGACTTCTCTGGATGTACTCTTCGTATTGTGGAGTCTTTGTCGTCAACGTGTCCCTGTTGCTCCAATGGTTGGTTCTTGTCCTGTTGTGCAGAAGTGGCAGCCTCTTCGTGGGTGATGGATATTGAAGTGGTTAGTGGATGATGATGGTGAAGGCGAAGACGTGAGTCAACGAGAAGAAAATTTATGATATCTCCTCTTTCTTTCAATTGTGGCCGTGTATGTAAGTTGTGTGGCCCTCCTCCTCTCCGAAATTCTATTCTCCGAAAATTATGAGTCCCCCTTCATTGAAGAGTATAATCACATATTTCTATTGCAACCTAGGTTAATTGACCGGGCTTCCTCATCCTAATGGGCTTAGACTTAGGCTTTATCATTTAATTTAATTTTAATTCCAAATGGGCTAAATTAATTTGGGCTAATTTAAGCTCAAATTAAGATAACCAAAGCCTTTGAAACTTGTGAATTTCGGCCCCCAATCCCTTGAGTGAGCCGAGTTTCACTCGACGCTCGAGCTCGGTTTATGCGATGGATTTTCAGCTTACTCGCCACCGCCGGTCCGATGTGGAATGCAATTAAACTATATGATCCTAAACTATATGCTATGCGATTTTCATATTTTTGTTTAGGGGTTAAAATTTAATCCCCAATTTTCTATGTAATTTGATGTAGCTAGCAAGGATCACCTAGAGGGGGGTGAATAGGTGATCTTAAACAATTTTGTCAATTTATGAGGAAATTAAAGAACACGAGTTAAGTCTAAATAAAATTCAGATTCAAAACAGTATATATAGACAATCTTTCTTGATGTGCGAGAATGTAAATAAAGAGATAAGGGATAGAAAATGCGTACACAAGTTTATAGTGGTTCGGAACATAGCAAGCCTACGTCCACTCTCCCACGCTTACTGACCTACGATTTGGATTTCACTATGTAATCAAGAGGAATTACAACTTCTGAGTGTTAACACTCTTGTGTATGATAGGACTCTCTATCTCACACAATCACTCTTACAAAGTATCCCTCAAGATCTTAATGTTTGGCTCAGAACGACAAGAGAAATGATTGGAGTATTCTCAGACTTTGGACTTGTTGATTCTTGATTCTGTACTTTTTTCTGCTGCTCGTTGATCTCCTTAAATACTCCTCTACTAGCCGTTGGACAGCTTTCAGAGGATCATCTTCCAATCTTCACCTTGGACAGATTTGTATAATAAGGATTGAGTAGCCGTTGGATGACAGATTCTGAATTCCGCTGATTCTGGTCGCCCATACAATCAGAATCTTGGTTTCCATAAGTAGAGCTTTGTCCATTGTAATGCATTCTTATCGTAATGTTTGATTGACAATCAATTTGATTGAGATTGAGACAATCAGAACATTCCTTCTGTAAAATCCATGCTAGATCACTAGCTGTTGTGTTTCGTTCTGAATTCTGCGTCTGAAGAAATTCTGCGTCGAATAATTTGCGTCTGCGTGCGCATCGCATAATACCACGCACGAATCTCGGAATCTAGATTATGTGGGTCTTCAAAAACATACTTGACAGCTTGTAAAGTCGAGATAACTTCCTACGAGTTTCAGAATATAAATACACTGGAATAAATTAGTTCAGAATAAGTATCAGACTTATAATTATGTGGAAGGTTTTGTCAACTTCAAAATTAATAGGAGTTTTCCTCAACAATCTCCCCATTTTTTATGGTGAGAAAACTTTCCTGCAGATTGAATTATTTTGAAATTGATTTGAAAGTAAATAAACATATTAAGCTCATGAAGCACAGATTGAAAGAGCAAACTGTGCTTAATGAGCTTAATATGTTTATTTACTTTCAAATCAATTTCAAAATAATTCAATCTGCAGGAAAGTTTTGTCACCATCAAAAAGGGGGAGATTGTTGAGAGAAACTCCTATTAATTTTGAAGTTGACAAAACCTTCCACATAATTATAAGTCTGATACTTATTCTGAACTAATTTATTCCAGGTATTTATATTCTGGAAACTCAGAAGGAAGTTATTCAGACTTTACAAGCTGTCAAGTATGTTTTTGAAGACCCACATAATCTAGGTTCTGAGATTCAGAAGCAGAAGTTATTCAGATGCAGACGCAGACGCAGAAATTATTCAGACGCAGAATTCAGAAAGAAACATAACAGCTAGTGATCTGGCATGGATTTCACAGAAGGAATGTTCTGATTGTCTCAATCTCAATCAAATTGATTGACAATCAAACATTACGACAAGAATGCATTACAATGGACAAAACTCTACTTATGGAAACCAAGATTCTGATTGTATGGACGACCAGAATCAGCGGAATTCAGAATCTGTCATCCAACGGTTACTCAATCCTTATTATACAAATCTGTCCAAGGTGAAGATTAGAAGATGATCCTCTGAAAGCTGTCCAACGGCTAGTAGAGGAGTATTTAAGGAGATCAACGAGCAGCAGAAGAAAGTACAGAATCAAGAATCAACAAGTCTAAAGTCTGAGCATACTCCAATCATTTCTCTTGTCGTTCTGAGCTAAACATTAAGATCTTGAGGAACATTTTGTAAGAGTGATTGTGTGAGATAGAGAGTCCTATCATACACAAGAGTGTTAACACTCAGAAGTTGTAATTCCTCTTGATTACATAGTGAAATCCAGCCGGTAGGCTGTAAGCGTGGGAGAGTGGACGTAGGCTTGCTATAAGCCGAACCACTATAAATTTGTGTACAGATTTTCTATCCCTTATCTCTTTATTTACATTCTGCACATCAAGAGCATTGTCTATATATACTGTTTTGAATCTGAATTTTATTCAGACTTAACTGTGTTCTTTAATTTTCGCATAAATTGACAAAATTATTTAAGATCACCTATTCACCCCCCTCTAGGTGATCCTTACTAGCTACATCAATTGGTATCAGAGCAAGTAACAACTTATAACAGGCATTATGCTCAATGCTTCTGAACAAACCTCCTGTTCCAGGCACACCAGATGCTATTCCCACCTTCATTTCAAAAGTATCAAAAAATCGAGCGTCATTATCGAAAATAACAAATTTTGAGGCACTTGTGGACTTAGGACTTATAGGGACAGATTTCTTTGCAGAAGGAGTGGAATATTCTCCAACTTTCTCCTTGCCCTTCCTGGAAGAAGGCTCTTTTGATGTAGAACTGGCTGGAACTTGTTCAGATTTAGTGCAGTAAACAGAATAGTTTTGCACAAGATGCTCTTCAGAGCGAAAACCGTTGTCTTTCAGACAAGCGAGAAGGATCGACGCTGAAGCATTGTTCCTTTTCAACCTTTGGTAAACTTCCCACACACGTTTGATGCTTCGAAAGCGAAAATCAGTTTTACCGGACGATTTCGGTGGCGACGATCGCTGAGGAGGTGTCGCTTCAGAAGGGCCTTCATGATGGTCAGATTCTGAGTCTGAAACCTCCAAATATTCCGCCAGTGCTGTAGACTTGGAGTCTTGGTCGAGAATACGTGAAGATCTTCGACGAGCCACCATCTTGAACGGCATTTTGATTACTTTTGGAGAGGAAAGTTTCGATCTTTGGAGGAAGAAGAGGAGAGTCTTTGAATATCGAAAAGGTTTTGAGAGTAAAAGATCGTACTGATAGGGTTTTGATAAGAAGAGGACGGGTTTATAAAGGAGGTGGATAGGTTTTGGAAGGAAAAGTTACTTTTAGAAAATAAAAAGATATCCCAAACAAGTAGGAAGAAAATATACTCTTTGAAGCTTAATCAAATATGATGACATCATAACAATATATTAAGCACAATTTATCAGATAAATTAGAATACATACATGATTTGCTTCCAAAAGTAACGATTATAAAAATATCCTGCCAAAAATATACCCGCCAAAATTTGAATAAGGAACGTACCTTTCTTTGTGAGTCTGAAAAATGTTCAGACTGAGAATATTTGAGTCTGAAAAATTCCTGTCTATCAAACACTTAAAGAAAATGGATAAGTGATGCACAGTTTGTTTCTTATGAATTCAAATGAAGATTTATCAAGAGGTTTTGTAAATATATCAGCTAATTGATTCTTAGAATCAATGAATTGAATATTCACATCACCATTTTGAACATGATCTCGAATAAAGTGATGCTTGATTTCAATATGCTTACCTCGAGAATGAAGAATGGGGTTCTTTGTCAAATTGATTGCACTTGTGTTGTCACATTTGATTGCAACACTTGATTCTTCAATAGCAAAGTCTTGTAATTGCTACTTCATCCACAGAATCTGTGCACAGCAACTTCCCAATGCCACATATTCTGCTTCTGCTGTAGAAAGTGCAACTGTATTTTGCTTCTTTGAGTACCAGGATACCAACATATTCCCAAGCAGTTGACATGTACCTGAAGTACTTTTCCTGTCCACTTTACATCCAGCTAAATCAGCATCAGAATATCCAATAAGAGTAAAATCTGAATCTTTGGAATACCAAAGGCCTAACATTGGATATGTTCCAATGTATTTGATTATTCTCTTTACTGCAGAAAAATGAGATTCCCTTGGGTCTGATTGAAATCTTGCACACATACAGACACTAAATAGAATGTCAGGTCTAAATGCAATTAGATACAATAATGAACCTATCATGCTTCTATATACCTTCTGATCAACCTTTTTACCATTTTCATCTTTGTCCAGTTTGGATGAGTGAGACATGGGGATGTCTGTCTTCTTGCAATTCTGTAATCCAAACTTCTTGATAATCTCCTTTGCATACTTCTCTTGGCAAATGAATGTACCATCTTTGGTTTGTTTCACTTGAAGGCCAAGAAAGAATGTTAATTCTCCCATCATACTCATCTTGAACTCATTCTACATATTCTTTGAGAATTCCTTGCAAAGAAATTCGTTAGAGGATCCAAAGATTATATAATCAACATAAATTTGAACAAGTAGAAAATCCTTACCCTTTCTCTTAACAAATAAAGTTGTATCAACCTTACCTTTGGTGAAATCATTTTGCAGAAGGAAGTTACTTAACCTTTCGTACCAAGCTCTGGGTGCTTGTTTCAGACCGTAAAGAGCCTTTTTGAGTCTGTAGACATAATCAGTCTTCCTTGGTTCTTCGAAACCAGGTGATTGTTCCACATATACTTCTTCTTTGATATATCCATTCAGAAAGGCACTTTTCACGTCCATCTGAAACAATTTAAAGTTATGGAAACAAGCATAAGCTAATAGTAGCCGAATGGCTTCTAACCTTGCAACTGGTGCATATGTTTCATCATAATCTATGCCTTCTTCTTGAGAATAGCCTTTTGCAACCAGTCTTGCTTTGTTTCTTGTAACTTTCCCTTTGTCATCCAGTTTGTTTCTGAATACCCATTTTGTTCCAATTACTGGATGATTTTTGGGTCTTGGCACAAGCTCCCATACTTTATTGATTCTGAACTGCTGAAGTTCCTCCTGCATAGCATCGATCCAGCTTTCATCTGATAAAGCTTCACCAACTTCTTTTGGTTCTATTTCAGAAATCAATGCCAAGTTGCTGATGTTCTCCTTGTGTTTGGATCTAGTCTTGATACCATCTTCTATTTCTCCAATGATGAAGTTCTTCGGATGACTGGATTTATGTTTCCAGTTTTTGTCAAATCTTTCTTTGTGAATATCTGCAGACTCTGAAGTTTTTGGTTGAGTCTGTATTGTATCTTCTTTTCCTTCTTTTCCTTCTGATACTAATTGTTGATGATCTTCTGATAACTCTTGAATGTTGGGAGATGATTCAGATTCATCTCTGTGAGTCTGAATGTTTTCTTAAAACCTTACATTCATTGATTCTTCCATAGTCTGAGACTTTTTGTTGAAGACTCTGTATGCTTTACTTGTAGTAGAATATCCAAGGAAAAATCCTTCATCTGCTTTCTCATCAAACTTACCAGGGCGATCATTTGGATTTTTGAGAATAAAGCATTTACAACCAAACATACGAAAATATGAGATATTGGGCTTTCTACCTTTGTAAAGCTCATAGGGGGTTTTCTCCAGAATGGGTCTAAGAAAAGCTCTGTTAATGATATAACATGCTGTAAAAACTGCATCTGCCCAGAAATGAAAAGGAATCTTGCTTTCAATCAACAAAGTTCTTGCCATTTCTTGCAAAGAACGATTTTTCCTTTCCACAACACCATTTTGTTCTGGTGTATAAAGAGTAGAAAAATTGTGTTGAAAGCCATTTTCCTCACAAAAATCTGAAAAACTTTGATTTTCAAATTCTCCCCCATGATCAGTTTTAATGCAGGAAATGGTGTAGCCCTTTTTATTCTGAACCCTTTTTGCAAATTTTGAAAAGTATGAAAATGCCTCATTTTTATGAGCAAGAAAGAACACACAAGTAAATCTTGTGAAGTCATCAATAATAACTAAACAATATTTCTTACCACCAATGCTTTGAGTTCTGGTTGGTCCAAATAGATCCATATGAAGAAGCTGCAAAGCACAATTAGTGGAAACATGATGTATAGACTTAAAAGAGCTCCTTACTTGCTTTCCTAGTATGCAGGCATTGCATAATTCTGTTTTTTTATATTTCAAATCTGGTAAACCTCGAACCAATTTCTTGTTTGAGATCTTTGAGATTTGTTTCATACTGATATGTCTCAATCTTCTATGCCATAGATCTTCATCCTCTTTGATTGAGATCAAGCAATGAGTGGCGTTTGGATTGACATCTAGAAGATAGATATTGCCATGTCTTCTTCCTGTAAATGTTTGAGAAGAATCTTTGCTTGTCCGTGAGCATGTATCTTCTTGAAAGTTGATTCTGAAACCTGTATCACATAGTTGGCTTATGCTTATCAAGTTGTAGTTGAGTCCTTTCACTAAAGAGACATCCTTGATTGTAAGTCCTCCAATTTCAACTGTTCCTTTGCCAACGATTTTTCCATTGGTATTTCCTCCAAAGGAAACTTTTCCACCATTCAGACTGTGTAGATCAATGAATATGCTTGGATCTCCTGTCATATGTCTAGAGCATCCACTGTCTAGGTACCACTTCCTTTTTCTCTTTGTGGTAACCTGCAAAAATCACAACATCTCAAGTTTTCTTTGGTACCCAAATTTGTTTGGGTCCTTGAGCATTATTATAGGCTGTCTTAACAAAATCTCTTCGAACAGGTCTCCAGATCTTAGGACATTCATTCTCAAAATGTTGTGGATCTCCACATTTTGAGCACTTAAGAGCACTTCGGCCAACAGGTTTAACAAAATTTCTTTTGAAATGATTTTTATAAGCTTGTCGAGGAGGTCTTTGTCTTAATCTCTCCTTGACCTTTGGAAAATCAATCAAGCTATCACTTTCCTTCACAAATCCGAGACCAGATTTGTTATAGTAAGGGATTTGGATAGAAAGGATATACTTCAAGGTTTCTGAACCTTTTGAAAACTTGGAAGTAATTTCTGAAACTTCCTTTTTCAAAACAGCATTTTCTTTGGAAAGAAGATCTCGACTTTCCTTGATTTGATGAAATTCTTTTTAAAGGAAATCGATTTTTTCTTTTTGAGAAACATCCTGTTGCCTCAGTGATGAATTTTCCTTTTTCAAAGAAGAGATTCTTTTAAAAGCAATCTTAAATTCAAAGCATAATTCATCAATATAATTTAATACTTCAATAGGCATATCAGAATGCTTTACCTCAATTTCAACTTTAGGATCAGAATCTGAATCTGAATCTGAGTCTGAGTCTGACTTAGCCATTAGACAGAAATTAAAGATATCTTCATCACTGTCTTCGCACTCTGTATCACTCCAGGTTTTTGCTTTTAAGGCCTTCTTTGCTTTCTCAAACTTGGTCTTCTTTTTCAGAAGTGGACAATTTGGCTTGATATGTCCACGTTTCTTACAGTGAAAGCATATAACATCCTTTGATCTCTCTGTTTCATCGAAAAACTTCTTCTTCTCAAAAGGCTTCTTACCTTTGAAGTTTCTTCCTTTGATCTTCATTTTCTTATACTTCTTTATAAAGAGAGCTAGTTCTTCATCGTCAACATCTTCATCTTCAAAATCTGCATCAGAATCAATGTTAGTCTTCAAAGCAATTGACTTATTACCTCTGGATTCATTCTCCTCATTCTATTTCTCAGTCTCATATGACTGAAGAGTTCCAATTAACTCATTCACTGATAGAGGCTTGATCCTTTGTGTTCTCGAAGAGATGTTTTGATGTTATCCCACTGATTTGTCAGTCCTCTCAGAAGTTTGTTGACTTTCATTGCATCTGGAACTGGTTGTCCTTGATAAGCAAGACCATTTACTATATCAGTAAACCTGTCATACAAATCAGCAATTGATTCTCCAGGCTTCATTTTGAAGGATTCATATTGACCAAGCAAAAGATTGATTTGAGTTTCCTTGGCTTGATCCGTTCCTTCATAAGTAACAAGGAGAGTATCCCGGATTTCCTTAGCTGATTCACAAGCAGCAATTTTTTTATATTCAATAGGTGATAAAGCACAATAGAGAGAATAAATTGCTTTGGAATCTAAGGTTTCTCTTTTGGATATCTCAGTTTGAGATAATGGAGGATCTGCTGCTTTGCTTGCATCTGCCTTTTCTTTTGAATCAGAAGATTTTGGATTGACTCCTCTGATGATGACATCCCATTGCATGTGATCAATTGACTTTATGAATGCCTTCATCTTATTCTTCCAGACACTATATTCCTTGCCATCGAAATATGGTGGTCTGTTGTTGCTCTGTCCTTCAATGAGCCCTGGAGCACCATAGCTAGCCATGTAGATCGTTAGCTCAGAAGTAAGACACTTCAATAAATGAGCAACCTGCTTTGATACCAATTGATGTAGCTAGCAAGGATCACCTAGAGGGGGGTAAATAGGTGATCTTAAACAATTTTGTCAATTTATGCGGAAATTAAAGAACACAGTTAAGTCTGAATAAAATTCAGATTCAAAACAGTATATATAGACAATGCTCTTGATGTGCAAAATGTAAATAAAGAGATAAGGGATAGAAAATCTGCACACAAGTTTATAGTGGTTCGGCTTATAGCAAGCCTACGTCCACTCTCCCACGCTTACAGCCTACCGGCTGGATTTCACTATGTAATCAAGAGGAATTACAACTTCTGAGTGTTAACACTCTTGTGTATGATAGGACTCTCTATCTCACACAATCACTCTTACAAAGTGTCCCTCAAGATCTTAATGTTTGGCTCAGAACGACAAGAGAAATGATTGGAGTATGCTCAGACTTTGGACTTGTTGATTCTTGATTCTGTACTTTCTTCTGCTGCTCGTTGATCTCCTTAAATACTCCTCTACTAGCCGTTGGATAGCTTTCAGAGGATCATCTTCCAATCTTCACTTTGGACAGATTTGTATAATAAGGATTGAGTAGCCGTTGGATGACAGATTCTGAATTCCACTGATTCTGGTCTCCCATACAATCAGAATCTTGGTTTCCATAAGTAGAGTTTTGTCCGTTGTAATGCATTCTTGTCGTAATGTTTGATTGTCAATCAATTTGATTGAGATTGAGACAATCAGAACATTCCTTCTGTGAAATCCATGCCAGATCACTAGCTGTTGTGTTTCGTTCTGAGTTCTGCGTCTGAAGAAATTCTGCGTCTGCGTCTACATCTGAATAACTTCTGCTTCTGAATCTCAGAACCTAGATTATGTGGGTCTTCAAAAACATACTTGACAGCTTGTAAAGTCTGAATAACTTCCTTCTGAGTTTTCAGAATATAAATACCTGTAATAAATTAGTTCAGAATAAGTATCAGACTTATAATTATGTGAAAGGTTTTGTCAATTTCAAAATTAATAGGAGTTTTCCTCAACACAATTAATCACTAAATGGTGTGCCAAAATTTAGGTGTCAACAAGTATGTCTACTTGTATCTTAGCACGAAATGAGTCTTCGTTATATATATTATGACAGTCCATGTTGAACAAGTGATGAGATGAGGCTTCAAATCCTTCCTTCCACGTTGTGTTAAACCTTATAGTTTATACCATTCACCATGCACTAATTATCATTCGCTTCTTCTCTTGCCTTTATATATATATATATATATATATTGAGTCGCTATTGATTGAAATCTCTTGTTTGCTCTAGATAATCTTCGCCGTCGGCTCCTATATGCATCGTGCATGTGCGGATTAAGTCTTAATTAGTCACCGTGATTTCACCTAAAACCAAAGTGGCAATTTCAACTAATGTTTTCACTTAGCAACGAGATAACGATATGATCTTTGACCAAGTTGAACTCCCCAAATAGTGCATAGAATTTTTAAACACGACCAGCGCTGCCTAATCTCATAACAGATCTTGATGTTTGCTATATGAATGATTCTTAAGCAATGAAAGCACCTCAACTATGAATAACACAGTGATCATTTGACCTTCTGGTCCGACATATTCCACGCCATGCATACGGAAATTTCCTCTCGCTCGAACACATCACAATCACTCGATAGAAATGGAAGAAAAATCGGACATTTAATAAGAATGTTTAATTTTGAGAGGAAGAGTCATGCAAATGATGGTGGTCATAATTTTCAGCGAAGAGATGAC